CAGTTTACTCTAAATCTAAGAAAGTCGGTATGTTATATCATTTTATATTTACTAGGTGCAAGCAACGTGCAATGCACGTTTGCTTAGTTTATATTTAATATTTTTGTTTAATAATTAATTTGTTATTAATAAAAATGTAATTTTTTTTAGTTAATTAAGGACGTGTCTGGGCGACCTTGAGCTATTGAATATCGAGACCAGTTTACTCTAAATCTAAGAAAGTCGGTATGTTATATCATTTTATATTTACTAGGTGCAAGCAACGTGCAATGCACGTTTGCTTAGTTTATATTTAATAGTTTTGTAGAATTAGTTTGTTATTAATAAAGATGTAATTTTTTGGTTAATTAAATAATTAATGATGTAATGTTTATGTAATTAATAAATAATTAGACGTGATATATTTAAAAAAAAAAAAAGAACATCACTAAAATCTATAACATGATCCTATAAATAAACATCGCCAAGTTTAATACTGATTACATCACTGGGGACTAAAATTGCAGCATCTTCCTCACGCCACCTCCCATATCTAAGAACCTACATCATAATAGCTATTATTTATCAGATAAAAACAAACAAGAAAAACCAAAATCCTAGCACCGCCACGTTATAGTATCTATTATTCTCTGAAAAATACATTTTAGTATATGTCAAAGACTCGAAGTGATCAATACTATTTTTAGTATAATTTTTTGTGAGCATTTCAATATTCTCTAATTTTAAACGTGTATTTTTCACATTATTGCTCTTTTACTACAAAACAACTACATGCTGTAATGATTTTGAATTTTACCTGTGGATCCCTGAAGCATCTTCAATACATTTCATAGATAACAATCTAGATGACATGTAAATAAAAGGGCTGTCAATCCATATGGCAATAATGTCTGATGAATAGATGAATAAGTTCAGTTTCATTTCCAATAAACTCCTAGTGTAATTTCAATTTTTCACTTAATATGTATATTTAATATGAGAAACAAATAATACTAAACCAAAAAGATGAAACAGAATAAGAAACATGAGAGAACAAGATGAAAATATTGAATTATGATGACTCACCCAGAAGGTCCTCTATATCTAAACCTTCTTGACAATGCCTATGTTTATTCTTGCCATGTCAATTGGACATGATGCATATACGAGCCTGTTTGTTGCACATTAAAATGAGAGAATGCATTTTTTGAAGTGATGTGATGGGGAATATGTGGTTGAAAAAGAAGGAAAAGTTATTGATGTGATGAAAAATATTATTTTATTGAAGAATGTGTGGTTGAAAATGAGTAGAAGAATGAGAATACTGTATTTATTAGAACCAGCATTTTACATTTCATACACAGTGAAATGAATTCAATTTCAGCCTCAGTTTGATTGCTTAGAGCCTGTTTGGTGCACATTAAAATGAGAGAATGCATTTTTTTGAAGTGATGTGATGGAGAATATATGGTTAAAAAAGAAGGAAAAGTTATTGATGTGATGAAAATATTATTTTATTGAATAATGTGTGGTTAAAAATGAGTAGAAGAATGAGAATAAAAAAAATAATGTGGCTCAAACAGGGGCAGTCTATCTACTTTAATTTATATGACAATTTCATTAGTACAATCTTCATTAGTATTGAAAATGTTCTGAGTACGTTGCTATGTTATTTCAATTTTAATATTATTTTTCTTTAATTCATTTTCAACTACACATTATTCTGATAGATTATTTTGGAAGACACATTCTCCTAATAAATAACTTACAACTACATATACTCCTACGGCATGCTTCATCATTGCGTGCAAATCTTCCACGTATTCTTTGTCGATTGTCTGCCAGCGTCTTACGGCACACATACTTTCAAAATCACAAGAACAAAATACGAACAACGTTTTTAGTACAACCATAAATACCTATATAATAGACATTTGATAAATCAAGTCAAATGATTGACTTGATTGCTGTGTTAATATTACCTTAATTGTCTTGTTGAAGTTTCTTTTAGTTCTCTTTGCTCTGTACCTATCAATCCTTTCTTTCTTCTTTTCTGCAGTGTACCGCCAGGCTTTAACATTTGCTTCTTCATTCAATGACTTTACGTTTGATAATGGACTTGAAGACGACAAATTTCTGGCTTGCATTTTTGCTTTCATCTTCTGGAAATACAAAATTCAATATAATTGACATAACAATGAAAAAACTGGATTAATAATTGCAGAAAATTCACACAGGCCCTTTAAAAGTTAACAGAGCTTTGAACCGTGAAAGTTTAAGGATTTTTCAACCCAAAACACGGTGAAATGCCCAAAATTCAAAAACGCGGAAAATGGGTGTCTTCATTTTCCCTGCTGGTTGCTTCTCTTCCTCAGCTATGGTTCCACTCCTCCCTCCATCAATGACTTCCACAACCGCCACCGAAGCCACCAAACCCCCACAACACCGGCACTCCCTCACCTCCCTCTACAACCTCCGACCATATCCTTCCCATCGACCGCAGATGATAACCCCAATTCCCATCCAAAACCGCGAGTGCAGTCACGATTTTTCGCCAGTAACTTCCACATCTGGCCACCCTCTCGATCGTGGAGCACCACCACAACATTTCTCACTACCAGGCACATCTATTTCTACCATGGGTCAGCCTCAATTTCGTCCGGAATCGGCTGAGCTTGTTGGAGCAGTCCAGTAAGTGATTTCCGAGCAGTTTGAAATTTGTTTGGTTTTTTGTTATTTTGTTTTGCATCTATTTGATGATATGGATTTGATTTTGTTTCCAAATTTTTGAATTTTTGGTTCAGTTAATTTTGTGCATAAAGTGTGAGGTTTCGGGGGAGATGCAGTATAGGTTGAAGTTGGAGATGAATTGGTCGTAGATTGATGAACGAATTGGCTTGCAGCCTCTTCCTCCCCGTCTCCTCCTTGCTGCCTCTTCTTGCAGCCCTTCTTCTCTGTCTCTTCTTCTCCGGCCCTGCCCTCTTCTTCTGGGTTTCTTCTTCTTCTATAGCTCTTCTCTGGTTTCTTCCTCCTCACTATCTCCTCCTCCTTCTTCGGCCTTCTTCTCCTCTTCTTCTGCTCTTAATCTGTTCTCCAATTCTCTGTCTGTTCTTCCTTTATTCACATTTCACTGTATTACAATTTCCTTGTTGTTTATATTTTGTAGTTCCATTGTAATTCAGTTCAATCAATCAAGTATACAACTTGGGTTATTAATCCCCAGCTGAATTGTATTAATTGTGTTGAATTTGGGGTTGTGGTGTTGGAAGTGGCATGTGGACGAAGGCCAATACAGACGGCAGTAGAGAGGGAGGAGGAGGAAGTGTTGATTGACTGGGTGAGGCAGAAGTATATAGAGGGCTGGTTGTTGGAGGCAGCAGATGATAGGATTAAGGGACAGTATGAAGTGGAGGAGATGGAGGCGGTATTGAAACTGGGGTTGATTTTGTTGTCACCCGGACCCTCTCCGTCGACCTACAATGAGGGAGGTGATTGTTATATTGATAGGTGGCAGTGTTTCAGTAATCAGTAGCACCAAAAGATTTGTTAGCTGAATTGATACCCATGGAAAGCAACGTGAATTCCTCCGAAGGTGGTGAGAATGAAGTACAAGGAGAGGTGTCCCCTTCACAAGTGCAGGTGTGAATATTGGTTTTTTGTTATAGCAGTCTTTTAATTGATGTAATTTTCTATCTTGGAGGCGTATGGAATTTCAATTTTCACAGTTTTGACGAGTGTGGTGGAATATGATAAGATAATTTGTTCAATACATCTTGCTATTTTATTGTTCTATAATGTCGATTTATGAAAAGTTTAAAGAAATGTATTATTCTGGGACGAGTTGCTGATAAGAGGTGTGGTGGAATATGATAAGAGGTCTGTACTATACTGGAACGAGTTGCACATCTTGCTTCGTGTTGGTCTTGCAGGACGGCTGCTCTCTGATTGAGACGCTGAAAGCTGAAATAAGAAAAATTATACCATAATTGTTGACTGGTTGGAAGCCACCATTGCCAATAAGGAGGATGTCGAAGAAGGCTTGTGATGTCACTAGGAAGAGGAGGTGATGATGCCAATCCCACCAGGTGAGGGACCAAGGTTAATGCTGTGGATCCTGAACAAGGTTAATGCTGTGGAATATCCCAAGCTTAATGAGGCATCCATGGTTTATGTTTTGCTCAATAAGGTTATAAATTGGCTTGTGAAAGATATGAGTTCCTAGATTCATCTCATCACGAGCTTCATTGTATTGTATATGGCCACCAGGATTGCTTATGATAAGAAATTGTTTAGGATTTTCTCTACTGTGGTTGTCTGAAGTTGTCTGTTTGATGTTTGAGCTACTCTTATTTCTTTGAATAAAATTATGTTTAGAAATCATCTTTGTTGATGGGTTTATATGGTCCTGACCTGGAGTACTCACAAGAAGGATATGGCTATTCTCCATGTTGGTTATCTAAATCTGTGTGTGTTGTGTATGTTGGTTATCTAATTCTTGTCATAAGTTATGTACAAGGACAAAAATAAAAATTTGTCAAATTTAATTTAATTTGTATTTTTTATACTTGGAAACAAATATTTCAAGTTTCACCAACTTAAAAAAGAATATGTTATTTAATACTATATTAAAATCAAACTATTAAAATTTATTGAATAATCAGATTTTTTGAATCAAATATTATAAAAAAATATATTCTCAAAATTTCAAAGCAAACTCGTTTTCCATTTTCATGTTTTCAGAAATAGTTTCTCAGAATAACAAAAAGAATGCGTTTTCAGAAACTTCAAAACAGACACTCAAAACACAAAACACAAAATGAATTCAAAACTCAAAACACAAAACTGAAACACAAAGAGAACGACACCTAAGCTTTTCAAAGAGTGATTTAACATGCTATCCGAGCAGACAAAGGCCCTCAATTCAAGTCTTTTCGTCACTTATTTATGAAAAATTGTGCATGAGTCAAGACTATGGTAAAATAATGAATTGCACCGTGACAGCAGCTTTTAGACGACATGGTTCAATGCGAACTGACCTGTAAATCTCCAGTGCCACTAACCTTTCTCATTTGACCAGAAGAGAAACTGCTTTCTGGGGAATTCAGCATATCATTTTGCAAATTTTGAGACTCAAAAAGATTATCAAATCGAGGTTGAAATAGAAAATTCGGTTCATTTTCAAAAGAATTGCTGCTATAACTCCTGTGCATGAACTTCACTGCAGATTCAGCAGCACCATCATAAATCTCATGCGGATTTGAATTTCCATAATCCAAGAAACTGTCGAAAGGGGATTGATCTTCCTTTGTTTTAACCTCTAAAGCAAAATTCTCATCATTTGTTAAATGGGACAAGGACATATTCTCAAACCGAGTACTGGCAATTTGGTCCAAAGAATTGATTTCATCAAAAGGAATTTTTTCTTGAAGCAAATTCAGACCATTTTTGGCATTTTCTTCAATTTCTTGGAAGATATCATGGAATGGGTGAATCAGAGAGTCAGAAAATGGATTAGAAAAACGACCAAAAAGGTGTGTACATTGCATCCTTCTCAAAATCAAATAAAGGATCTTGGAGACCGTAAAACTAAAAAGAATGTTAACTTAGCATCATATGATAGTCATCGTGTTTTCTAGGCAATAATTCTTCCAGAATAAGTGCTTGACGCAAGGCATCCACAGACTTTAATTCCTCCTGGTCATGTTCATCCTCCAACACAACGGACATAACTTTGTTGCTTCTCCTCCTCCTGGTCAAAGATTTTTTGAACATTGAAGAGGCATCAATTGCCTTCTTCTTGAAAGATCCAAGCCTTGTCTTCTTGTCATCCTTAGAGTTTCCAATGTCGTAACCTGAAATACATGCAATCTTATTACTCATTGCTATATATATGTTTGTTCATTCATTTCAAATCATCCAGTGAAAATAAATGCAATAGGTGCAAACAAGTAAGAGCAAACATTGATTATGATGGCCATGAATATCAAGATACAAATTCACACAATCTGCTTAAAAATAAAACAAGAGTCAAAGCATGTTCTCATACAATAGTATGCTGACATCTTGACTGCAAAATTGTCAACATGCAAAACCGTTATAACTTCCNCTCCAACCCAAAATCACAAACAGAAAACTCAATTTCTCTCCTTTTTCGTCTGAATCAAGAAAAATAATGCTCTCTTCTACAGATTTTGTAGTGTACCGAAAGCAGATCTCAATTTTATAAGAGGAATAAATATAAATACTTACAGGGCTTGTACCTAGTGGAGGGGTACATCCATGGAGGCAATGACAACAAAATCAGAGAACCAGGGAGAAGTAAAGAAAATCTAGAGAAGCAATAGAATATCAATTATTCATATACACCGCCTTTTATATTCAGATTTGTGATTTGCATTGTATCTACTTTGGGAAATACAGAGAATAAAGTTACCCCAACCCCACCCCAGAGAAGCAGGAAGAAGTGAAGAAAATCCAAAGAAGCAAAGAGAACACCAATTATTAACAAAAATATATTGAATGAAAAGAAGAAGAGTATTGCATGGCATGCAATATGGAAATTAAAAAAATAATGGCTGCTTGCATTTTATTGCCTTATAGAAGCTTCTCGCCGGAGAAAATGGCTGCCGATAAAGTGGCATCTATACTGTCCACCGCATATTGACACAAGGCATAGGACCCACCAGATTTTTCACTCTCTGAGGCATGGTTTTCCAACAAATTTCGGATTTGTACTGAAAATTTATGAGAAAATTGTGGGTTTTCTTAAAGGGAGTGAAAAAGTAGTGGTAGTGAAACATGCTCGTGATTCCCAGGAAGAGTTTGCCTTTTGGCTTACACCACTTCATATTCTGTGGGAGAGAGGTTTCTTCTTGAAATGAGAGCACAAAGTTGGGGAGGATAATGGAATTCTAACGGACAAACATCAATGACGTGGCTTAATAGCTATTTAATGGAACATTAGAACAATAAAACTAACGGTGATTCGGTGAAAAAAGATTTTCCATTAAAACAAGAAATTTCGTTAGATTTTCCGTTAAACCAAGAAATTCCGTTTCATATGCACTTTTTTATATAAAAAGATATATATATACACACACACGTTGCTTAGTCTATATTTAATAGTTTTGTTTGACAGACAAATTATTCAAAAATAAAGTTCAATTTACTTAATAAACATCATTAGTCATTAGTCATATCTATTTTGTTGTTAACTTTATGAATAATAAAACTCAAATAATTCAAACTCTTTTCTCAAAGGAGCTCGAAAGCACTACTCTCCAATCCCAAATTTAGATTGCTAATAGCTCAACTAATAATTAGCATAAGCCAATCCATTGGGAACCCATTAACAGTGTTAACCAATTAACTATCAATTTCTCATGTTGTGAGTAGTATTCTCATCAGTTCAAATTTTTTTGTTTTTTACTATTGTTTAACCCACAAAATAGCCAAGATTAATTCTTTGTCCAATGCCCATAACAAAAACATAAAATGAAAAAATAATTGTAACATGAAAAATATCAAGCCAATTATACCCGTCATTCCGTCAAGAAAAAAAATGTTCTAACAGGAAAAAGAATCAACCAAGAATTATCCAAAAGTTGAAGCAAATCTCAGTCAAAACTCGATCAAGAAACAGATATAACGGTAATCCCTGTTTGTCTAAAACAGAAAAATGTTCTAAAAAATTGGTTCTATAAAGCAGCATCCATAGAACAAACCAATTAATAATAAAAAATTCCCCAAAAAAGTAAACAATTTCTAGAAAAGCTCAAATTTACAGAATAATCATGAATGACTTGTTAAATTCCTTACCGTTGCGGAGGCCGATGCTGGACTCTTCAGTGTTAATGTTGTAGAGTGTGCCCTCATACCTGATCTCACTTTTCGATGTCAAGCTTATTAAGCTACCGATGTACGAATCCGCTAATGCTCCACCACCAGATCTGCAGCTGGACGCTGCCGTTGAACTCTCCGCCACCATCCCTTTCTACCGCTCCTTGACACCCGCTACAACTCCCGCCCGGAAATACCATTTTCCTGCGCCCATAAAAAAATCCACCACATATTAACATTTCATACAAATTTGCTTGAGAAACTTTGTACAAAATTTCAGAGATATAAATCGTGCGAGTAGATATTCTTCGCTATATTTTTTTGCCCTTGCCTTTTGAGTTCGTTGTGTNCGTATTTTTACTTAGTATTTTCAAATTAAAATGGGTCGTGTGGACGCATGGAAGATTGGCCGAGTGATACTTATAGGATCAACAAATAAAATTTCTAGAAATAATAATTGCAAACTTTTATTTGAAAAGTATATTTATGTTAAGATTTGTGCAATTATCTTAGGGCCTAAATAGTTCTCATTTGGACTTTTGTTATGCATTTTGTTTACTATCTGCCCCAACTAGTAATGGTGGATTTTGGACAAACTACCTTTCTTGCAAAGAATTTTACTATTTGATTTTGCCCCAAGTGATAATGATTGAGAGCCTCTCGAATAGCAGATTAATATCATTGCATTTTAGCCATTGAAAATTGAATCACATTGTAGTAAAGCAGATCCTGTTGTGCAAAATGAAGTAAAAAATTTTGACATTTCAAATTATCTACATCATCTAAGGAAATTTCGAATTGATGTTGTATATAATCTCTAGTTTGATGCCTGAAATGACAAGTTTTCCAGTATCGAATTTTGTAGACATATGATGAGTTAGCAGGCCAAATCTTGAGTTTTCTATAGAAGTCTCTAGTTTTTTTTGTTAAATCTCGAGTTTGTTCTAACACATCATCTTGCTACATTTTTGTCAATTGTCCGGAGATATCCATTTTCCTGGAGAAACCGATAACATATCTCGACAATGTGGCGTTTTGATACCACCAAGAAATGTATCATAATCTAAGTAACGGTACTTAGTAGATCATTTTTCTTGTAATTATTACTCACATTGTTGATATAAAATGTGTGTTTATGACATATAAAATATGCTTGTATAAAATACAATCATTGTAATTAATGATCTTGAGTTGTCTTTCAAAATCTTTGAAACAAGTTTTTGTTCCCATTAATGATCTTGAGATGTCTTTCAAGATCTTTGAAACATGTTTTTGCTCCCAACTCTCTCTCTCTCTCTTTCTCTCTGTGTGTCATGCATGCATCATATGAATAAAAGTTGACACTCCTACTTTTTCGCCCACTTCTCAACGGCAGGTTGATCTTTTCACCAAGTCTTTTGGGTCGAGAACTGTTCACTTTCTTCTCTTCTAAGTTGGGCATTATGGATCTCCGTGCTCCAACTTGAAGGGAATTATTAGCTAGCAGACAAATTGCATTATTCTAGCACTACAGATTGCACCAATCAAGCTCCATTGACAACGGATCAGCCACCCTATAACCTAAGCTGACAGACTTGACACATTCATTATTACAAACGTCAGTCATCATATCAATCATTTCTAAAGATCGCCTGCAAATCTTTTAAGAGCCAGCGAAAGTTTCGACAAAAGCCAGCTTCAGAATGGAGATCTTCGAAAGCTTTTCTTTGACTTCACCACTTCTTTTCCCTTCCACTCTAACCAATCGGGGCTTCCATTGATTTTTAGTCAACTTCTGACTTATGCCTCCACATGGACTACTACATAATAGTTTAGAGTCTCAGTGGCGAAACATAACAATAGTCCCCCAAATCTATGTATGATTATTCATATAATGCATTGACTTCTCTTGTCAGGAGCTTTTTGTTGGGGTGGTCATTTTCCTGTAGTGGTTAGTTTTTTGACAACATAATAGTCCCTCAAATCTAAATATAAATATTTATATTATAATTAGAATTTGAAAGTGAAATGACCAAATTTAGGATTTGCATCAGTACTTATCGTAGATGTTGTTTGAAGTCCTGAAGTAGGGAAGGTCTTTGCTTTATAATTTACTGAAATTTTAACGATAGATCTAAAGTCCTTGTTGTCCGAAGCTGCCTACTTCGAAGCTGTCTATTTTTTAAAAAAAGAAAATTTGAAAGAACAGCTGAGGTCCTTTTAGGTTTTGGCCGAAGCTATCGACTTATGAAAAAGATGTAATGTGTTGACTCTGAAGTTGTATGGTTTTGAAACGTTGGGAAATCGAATCATCCTTAATTATTGTGCCTAAATGATTTGCTGTCATGTACGTTTTCAAGAAAAGACAATTAAAACGGTTCAACTTTTCATACACACATCTGTTGCCACATTTGATGAGCAATGATGAATGATGCAGGCATGTTCTTGGGAGAGAGATGAACAGGCATGCGTGAATCAGACGCTCTGATCTGAATCGTTGTATGCAAAGCGCCGATGTGATGGCTGGTTCAAATTGAATATTAAATGGATGCCAGGATATGTAGGATCTAGATCCAATGGCTCGGGTTCATGAGTGTTGCCTATAAAAGGCGAATTCTCAAATCTTGTAAAAGAAAACTTTAATATATTCCCAACTTCTTTGAATTATTAGAATTGTCGAGACTTTTTCCGGCCACTTTTAAGAAATTCGACAATCTTCCATTTTTCTTCAAATCGTGAGTTCTTCAAATCTAGTAGGGAGTATAGGTCTTAGTGCTGTAGCCTAAAAAATGGGTGTGGCCATAAAACAAGTTGGAGACATGCCAAAGTTCCGTCAAACGTAACTACCGTCAACCTTGCAAAGGTTAGGAAAAAGTATTGCATCTCTCATACCATAGAACTGTTAGCCCCAAAGCCCGAAGAAAGAGCTTTCTCTCCTAGGTAGTGGTGTGTGGCAATTAGCGAATTCCTTCCGAAGGGGACTTTATCTATCGCTTCATCCATTTTTTAGGGTTGTCCTTAGATTATATGGGTTAGCGGCTACCCGCTCGTTTCCAGTGCTTGGGCCCAAATTGGTTGAGACTTATTTTTTATAGAAGGAGGCTTCCCTTGGTGAGGAAATACCCCTCCATGTCTTTCAAACAATCCTCCAACCTAAAGTCCTAGAGAAAGAGGATTCTAAAGGCTCGTATTCCTTGTCTTTGGAGTTAATTTTCCTTTGTCATAGGCCTCCATTCCACCATCACTCTATCAAAGGGTAGAATGAAACTTGGTTTTGGGTGAAAGGGAAATGGAAAACCTGTGAGAGTGATAGGGTTCTCCATATTACGATTTCCATCTATTATTTAGAAGCGCATGAGTGTCTCTTTTATTTTACTTGTTCAATTTTTTTGTATATTCATTATTCTAAACTCTTCGTCATGTAGGTTCTGCTGATCGCTTCGGCCTTTTCGAAGTGGAACTGGGTGTGATAGAGGACATCTACTGTCAACCTTTATCCTCTCGTGAATTTGAGCTTCTAATTTCCCACTGCCGATTCTAAGAGGAGTTCGAATTGATGGCTCGAAGAGGTAAGATCCCAGCTCTTGTAATCATTAGTTTCTGGGAGTCTTTTCCTGATGCTCTTTTCCTTTGCAAAGAATTTTGAGAGAAAAAAATACCTCGCCCCAAACATGTATTCCATTCTCACCGCCACTTCTAAATTTTGGAAAAAGAGTACAAACCTTCTGCTGCAACCAGCATGTTAGGGATAGGGTCGAGAATATCGACAGAGATACTATTGAGGAGGGTGAAGGTCGACCCCAACTGAAGACTAGGGGAAAGGAAAATGTGGTGGAGATTTCAAAGAAAAAATATACTTTCTCCTCTACCGACGAAGGAGGGTCGGTAGCTGGTCCTCTTCCTCTACCTCAAGTTCCTGTAGGGGAAAAGTTGATGGTAGCCTCAATTGCTGCTGCTAGAAGGGATTTGAAAACTTTAATGCAAGAGCTAGTGAAGAAGGATAAAATAAGTGAGAGCTTTTCTGCCACTGATTCTGCTTTTTCCAGAGTCAGACTTTCCCTGACAAAGAGGAGTGAAGAGCTCACCCCTGAGGCTGTGATAAACTGTGCCATCACTTTTTACAAATATTGGACAAATAGGTGGTAGACCTTTGTGGAATTGAGTGACGCAGTGGACCTCTTTGCCACCATGGTAAGCCAGACAGGGAGGTCCTTTAGGGTGGCCATAGAGGCTGAAGCCCTGTTTAAAAACCTTCAAAAGAAAAATAGAGACTTCATTTATAGAGCCTCCAGGGCTGAAGAAGAAACAAAGAAAGTGAAAACTGATGCCAAGGCCGCGAAGGCTCAGAAGGGATTGGAGGCTGCAAAACTCGCTTTGGCTTAGCAGAAATTGACAGCTTGAAAAATGAAGTCCATTTGTCTCAAAGTGGAGTGGCTTCCTTAACGAAGCGATCGAAGCTCTGGAGGCTTCTAATAAAGAAAATGCATCTCTGAAGCAGCAAGTGAAGGAGTTGAATTCCAAAGTTAATGGCCTCACTGAAGAGGTTGAAGTGACTAGGGGTGAGGTCCAATTTGCTGGTGATGATGTTGTGAATCATTACATAGCCAACTTCCATTTATTTGAGGAGTATCAATGCTTCGCAAAATGCTGGTAGCATATACTGAAGTGGTGGAATGGAGCCTCAAACCCCAACTGATGGAAGAAACATGACTAAGCTTGAGGATGACGAAGAGGCTAGGGGTGACAACATTGAAACCAAAGTGATGGCCCCTCATGCCATTGTTCTTGCAGCTGGTGCTCAATCCAACCCTCCTACTTAGCTCTTATACTTTTTATTTTTATATTTTCAATGTAATTGGAGTTCGAATTGATCGCTCGAAGAGGTAAGATCCCAGCTCTTGTAATCATTAGTTTCTGGGAGTCTTTTCCTGATGCTCTTTTCCTTTGCAAAAAATTTTGAGAGAAAAAAATACCTCGCCCAGACATGTATTCCATTCTCGCCGCCACTTCTAAATTTTGGAGAAAAGAGTGCAAACCTTCCGCTGCAACCAACATGTTAGGGATAGGGTCGAGAAGATCGACAGAGATACTATTGAGGAGGGTGAAGGTCGACCCCAACTGAAGACTAGGGGAAAGGAAAATGTGGTGGAGATTTCAAAGAAAAAATAT